TTGGAATCAGTATGGCCAAAATGCAAAAATAATGACATTAAGAAGTCTTTGAAAGATTCAGAATACCAATTTTATTAAATTTTTATTATAAACGGTTTTCTATTTTAAATTTTAAGCAATAATTATAGGATCAAACGAATTTACCTTGAGTGAAATACTTTTGCTTAAGATCTTGATAATAATTATAAAGTAAAATTCTTTTGTGACCAAGGTTGGCATAAACACTGGTAAGTATTTCTTGTACTGTACCCTTATCTTCTAACTTCTGTTTCAATTAACTTATTTAGTTTTTGTTTTATTTATAACTAAACAAAATTTTCCATTTGATTTCTTTACAAAGAAAATATTAGATATAAATTATTCCTCACATGTCTTGTAATCTACCGCGGTCAGGTACCTTAATAATTTATTAATTCCATCAGTTTTGGCACGAAGTAATAAACTTAACACTTAACGCATTTATCTTAAGTCAAGTTTGAATAGTAACATTGTTTTCGATACACAAATTTTTCAAGGCAAGTAATAAATCACCCCTTTTCTATCCAAATTCGTTCTCACCAGAATTACGACAAGTTAACGTTACAAAAAGTCATTAAATCGGGTATAAAGACCCTAACCTGAGGGACTCTAGAGGCATTACAATTCATTAAGAAATCAAATTAATTACTTTCAAATCTAGTAAAAGTCAAATTCACTATTCAGTACCTTTCCTAAATCGAGGCTTTCCCTAGCCGATGTCTATGCTGCAATACCCCCTATCCCCCGAACTCTATCACGTCCCGCACCACCTAAGTGTTTCTTACCTTATAATAATCCCGACGGTCAACGTCCAGACATTATCTCTTTTATCCGACGCTCTATGTTCCGATTCCCTATGTCCCATTCGACGCTTTACGTCAATACTTACCTACCTTTCTACGTCAAGACGCTCTTATACGACGCTCTGCGTTCCGACGCCATCTCTACGCTTCGCCGCTCAACGTCCGGGTGCTCTACGTCTCAATGCCACTTCAATATTTCCAAATCAGCAATATTTCTACGTATCAACAATTACATAAAAACGTCTGAAATAGACGGTGAGTTAATAATTTAGAAGAGGTTTATTATTATATTATTCATTATTATATAAATGTATTGTTCATTAACGTCACATTTGGGACGCTAGATAAACACGTCCCAATATGCATTTGCCGTTTTATTATATCAACCTAAAAATATTTATGGATTTGGTCTCCGAAGTGCCGGTACACTCTAGCTAATAGCTAATAGATTAACCGCTCAGCTGAGTTGGGGTAAATGACACTTCGGACGGTTAGACTGACATTTTACACAAATATGCTTTATGTCATTGCAGGGTTGGACTAGTTTAAATAATTATTTCTCAATCTTCGCACCGTAAGTAGATCTGGACATAAGGGATAATTCACTGGTATTGATCCGGCTCTATACTAATAGGACTACACTACATAAATCTCTCCCTTAGGTGAGGCTGAAGCATAATGGATATCCGTCTGTTACTGCAACGATTGTATCTCAGTAAGTGCACCTATATAAAAAAGAAGAGGACAATTTTGAGAACGTCTGCTGTATATCCTCAAGAATTCTTCAACAGTATATATTTAATTGCATGTGGCCTGTGGTCTGTTTATTTGGGCGGAACACATGTGAGGTCTCGGTGAGAAATATAATTTCTTATTACCCAATTAGAGTAATGGTATCGCTATTTTATTAGAAGATAAAATAAATAAGATAAGTATAATTCGAGTTTTATTTCATTCGCAAATTTGTACCAAACTTTTCATCGAATCCTGGTTTATCTAAATTAACATTATCACCACGTGGGTATATAAATTACCAATTAATTAACTAGACGATCACTACTACTAGAGGAAAAAGGCCAAGTACAGTAAGTATGAATTACTTTGAATGTCACAAAAGAGGAGGGAGGTAGTTAAAAAAACACGGGCTTTTAAATAATAAAAAAGCGACCTGGGGTGGGCGGTTACAGTCTTATAAGAGCGGTCTTATTTGCAAGCAGTTAAAAATTGACAGATTCAGTAGCAATAATCATATTTTGTACAGGTAGAAAAATTTAAGAAGTAACATTTAATCTATAAGACGGATCGAATGAGATATCTCTCCAGAACTGTAATATTTACTTAGATTTCCTGCTAGTACACCTGCTTTCACTCAAGAAGGCAAGCTCTGTTGTGTGAATTACTCCATTTGGGTTGATGTTGATATATCTGAGACTTTTTTCAAGGTTTCTCTTGGTGTACCCCTGGGCATGAGTACTTCTGTTGTCCGGAGGAACTTAAAGTTTACAGTCTTACGCAGTATCATTAACTTAGGCTTCAAATCTTCACCTGAACGATTTATAGCTTTAGCAGATTTGCTTAGGTCTCAACTTAGCCTCCCCTATTACTTCTATGAGGTCACTTTTAAATTCTAATGTGAGAAAATTTCTTCTAGTTTCAAAGTTCTGTCAATGAACATCGCATTGGAGACGGGTAACATCTCTTAGTAGTTCCACAATTGTTAGCTTCTTTCAAACAAAAATTAGGATGAGTGTTTCACCAAGTAAAGACAGACTAGACCCTAACTTGATCTGTAAAGACTTTAAGAGCTGTATTCATATCCTTAGTTTCTGGGTTGACTTTGAGTGGAGCCATTAAAGAGCAATTTAAGGATATATGGAAACAAGTCATTATTTGTAAATACATCTAGTCCTGAACCCAAAATGTCTAATCATGAGACAACTACCTCTTTTTAAATAACTTCATCAGTACTCCTTCATATTGAGCCCACTGCCCAACATTTAAGGATATTTTCATTTAGCAATGGCCCTTCAGTTTCATTAAGAGGGTCGCCTTATTTTTGATTTAAGTAGCACCAGAAAATGCAAATAATTACAATTAACAAATTGTTGGATGTAAGTGATTTAACATAGCAATATCTCCCAATATTACCTAAACAATATTCTTCATATAAAATGGTTCTATATATTTGACAACTATCAAAAAACTATCTCTTTTACTTCAGTGATTTTAACATGTCCACACTAAATCTGATACATTCACTGGGTCCTAGAGTCTCACTGTGTTTATTTAATCCGCACTAGTTTTGTTATAAACCCACACTAGGTACCTGATAAAACGTATATCCAATTTACGAGCATCCGTAATAAGATGTTTGACAACATTATCAAAAAAACAGTATCTTTTTAGTCTTAGTAATTTAACGGGTCCACACTGAACCTGGAACCTGCATTGGGTCCTAGACTAGCACTGAATTTATTTAGTGTTATAAACCCGAACTGGGTTATAGAACTCTCACTGAGGTATGGCACTACCTGGAATACCATGTAATGTAATTCAAAGGAAAAAAGTATGTCCAGTTAACTATCGCCCGCCGTATAAAAAACCGCTCTGAGTTATGGTCTATTCGGAATCCCATGTAAAGTGTTTCGAAAGAAAAAATATGGCCAGGAATCCTTCATTTGCTAGATGTTTGACAATGCTATTAAGAAATAAGTAGTTTTTTGCCTTCGTGATTTAACAGGTCCACACTCAACCTGGGACTCGCACTTAGTCTGTATATAATCCGCTCTGGATTTTTGTTATAAACCCAGACTGCGTTTTAGATAAAACTCGCACTCGAGTTATGGCACTATCTGAAATTACATGTAAAGTAATGTGAACCGAAAGAAAAATAAATTATGTTCAGTTTACCATTATCCACCATATACTATTTTGCTAGATGTTTGATGCTACCAAAAAGCCCAATATCTGATTTAACAGGTCCACACTGAACCTGGTACCCACACTGAATCATAGACTCGCACTGAGTCTACTTAATCCGCACCTGATATTATAAATCCGCACTGAGTTTTAAATAAAACTCTCACTGAATTATGGCGCTATTTGAAATCACATGTAATGTGATCAGAAAGAATAAGTATGTCCAGTTTACCATCGTCCGTCTCCAATTTCTTTTGTAATCTAAAACAATTCATTTATTTTTAACCAAACTGCATCCTTCTGTTGATAAATAAACACTATCTCTGGTTCTTCTGCCAGAGAACTAAAACTGGATGAACTGCATTTTCTGTCTGAATATCCTGCTATTTATGTTGATGATTTTTTCATTAGTGTTGCTCCTGCTGTTTAAGATTTCTTCCTTTTTGTTTGTTGTTTCTTAACTGTTTTTAACTTCTTACTTAAACGACACAATTTTGAGTCGTTATCCGACGTTTCTGATTATGAAAAATAATATTTTTCTATATTTTTATTAAAATTTAAAGCATTTTCGATTTGACGTGTGTGCACTACTTGGCACCAAAATGAAAAGTAGTAGCCATGCCCGCAAAATGCGGGAACTACATACAGAGTGAGGTTATAAGTTTTGGCTTTGGACAATAATTTAAAAAAAAACTAATGGCGTAAGGCTGGGCCCGGGCCCTAGATCCTGGAGGGGGGAGCAAGAAGACACGTCCCCCGTCCTTCCCCCTTTGTTCAAATTCATATAATCCATGAGCCTATTACACCGGCCGACATGATTTTCCTCGTTCAAGATATTACTAATTTTTTCCACCAATTTTGTAGTGCTAATTACGAATTCAGACGTAATTTTATCACATCAGGTTTTCAGTAAACTTGATATCTTGGCTATTTTATATTTTTTAATAAAAAGAAATAAAATTATTGAGTTTTGGTGCTCTTTCCTGGAATAGTGCGACCTCTCGTGGGAGACTATATTAGTTGCAACCCAACATAATCATTTGAAACGTGTCACATGAAAATAAGCCATCACAGTTATTTTGTTTACAAATTTTTTACTGAAAATTTGGAGAAAGTACTGGGTAAAATTGGATATAAAGAACATGGTTGGCAGCTTTGTGAAGATAACTATGTTTTTAGGCCAACAGTCAGGATACACAAAAAAATCTTAAACCTGGAACCAAAAATGTTATACGAAAAAATTTAATTGATCCTAAAAAAATGTTATTACCTCCACTTCATATTAAACTCGGAATGATGAAACAATTCGTTAAGGCATTGGATAAAGAGAATTCTAGTTTTCAATACTTGTGTCAAAAATTCCCAAGATTATCTGATGCAAAAATAAAAGAAGGAGTGTTCGATGGACCACAAATTAGATCTTTAATGACTGATGAAAGATTCGATACAACAATGAATACTACTGAATTAGAAGCTTGGCTGGCGTTTAAAGATGTTGTCAACAATTTTTTAGGAAATCACAAACACTCTGATCATAAAAATATTGTTGCAAACCTATTGGATAAGATTCAGAAATTGGGCTGTAATATGAGGATAAAACTTCACTTTTTAGATTCACATTTAGATTTTTCCTGATAATCTTGGTGATTATAGTGAAGAATAGGGAGAAAGGTTCCACCAAGACATAAAAACTATGGAAACAAGATATCAAGGTCGATGGAATGTGAATATGATGGCTGATTACTGCTGGTCACTGAAACGCGATATTACTGATGATATTCACAAAAAATGACACACAGACGTAATTTTATGGCTAAACGTAAAAGATATCACTCAAAATAATTCTGTTGTAATAATTTTTATTGATATTTTAAGTGTTTAAATATATTTATTTGTAACAATAATTGATTTTTTCTTAAAATTTCGAAAAAAACGATTTTTCTCTTTTGTAAAAAAACCTAATGTGATAGAGTATATCTGTATGTATTTTTGTGATAAAAATGCTAAGAATTAATGATATTGTTTACTCAAATAGAAACAATGTTCCAAAAATTTTCATTTGTCGGCCGGTGTTATTAAAAAATATACTAAAAAAGGAATTATTATTGGCAATGCCCGCCCCCTCCCGAACGTTCGCCCTTGGACTACCCAGTCTCACCCTTGTGGCGGTCATGGTTACTATATTCTCATTGGTTGTCTATGGCAGCAGTTAAAATGTGCGGTATCAAGTGCAAAATTGTGTTAATTATAGACAAATTGCATCGCAATTATTTAATGAATATTTTGAATTTTTTAGAACTTGGTAGGTATATTTATTTATTAAATAACACACAAGAACTATAAAAATAACAAAGTAGATAAAATCAGAAAGTTTGTGTTGTCGCGGTCACGCCTTTATTGTTCTATTTTTAACTCAGAACTTTTCTTCTTCCTTGGCTGACGATTGATGGCGCTGTGGCTCCCGTAACTTATGTACAGTGTTGCCAGTCTAGTACAATTGTACTAGATTTAGTACATTTTCTAAGAATCTGGTACACCCGAAGCAAAATCTAGTACCTTTTTCTTTTTCAGCATGTTATTATTTGATGCGTGTAAAATATATTATTGGGATCTTGCTCCTTGTTTTGTTTTCTTTCGCTAAAAACACTTTTTTTCCTTAATGAAACAAACCACATCACAATTCATTTGAAAATCTGGTACATTTTACAGAATCTAGTACATTTATATACAATCTGGTACATTTTTTAAACAAATCTGGTACATAACAAAAATATATTCTGGCAACACTGCTTATGAAACGTTCATGCAGCGTTGCCGGTTTTAACAAAGTCCTGGCATGTCATCGCGTTACAATTTGAAATAATAATAATAATAATAATAATAATAATAATGTTTATTAATTTTTAACCACATAATATAATACAGTATGTTTTTATCTTAATTAGTAAACACAGTAAGCCACTGAAATAACTTTTAGTTATTTGTGTGTGGTAAAATTAAAATTAACAGGAAAAAAAATATTAATCAAAGTTTAAATATGATAAATTACTTATTTCTAACTACATACTATACCGGGTGTCCCAGATTTTTTTGCCCAGCGGATATCTCGGTTATTTAATGATATAAAATTGTAAAAAAAAATATGAATAATATTTGTCTAGTAGCCTTTTAAATTCCACTACATAAAGTTATATTCATCAATCCACCCCATAAGAACAACCCCTAACTTTTTTTTTTCAAATGTCACCCCTATATTTTTTTTCGCTGATATAAATACTCAATTTATCCCGAATGCAACGATATGATATTTGATATACTTTACAGAGTCATAAAGCCGGTAAAGACTAAAAACCAATGTTGTGGTTAAAGTCATTAATTTTGTATCACCTGGTATTTTCTTTTTATTTTGATTAGAATTGCTTCGTTTTTGTTTTTTTTTTTGTTACCTATAACTAACTAACGATATGCTTAGACCATTTCTGAAATTGTTCGCTAGCTATAAACAACAGACAAAATGCCCTTTACATTCACTCCAAACGAATATGTTGATATGCTTTTAATTTTTGGTGAGTGCCAAAAAAATTCTCGTGCTGCTGTACACTTGTATCAACAGAGGTTTCCTGAGCGCCGACAACCATCACGTAAAACATATTCTTATGTTGAGACTAGGATGAGAGAAGGGTCATTTCCAGGAAAAGACAAACATCGTCAACATGCTGCTGCTGTAAGAACTGAAGAAATGTGCATTAATGTATTAGCTTATGTGCAAGTACATCCCCAGATATCGACGCGAAACCTAGCTAACGAGGTTCATATTAGTAAGTCGTCAGTACAAAGAATCCTAAAATCCTATAATTTTCATCCGTTTAAAATTCATTTGCATCAGGAACTTAGAGCTGGAGATTTCGAAAGAAGGATAACATTAATAGCACATTTTGAAGATTTAATGGAACGAAATCCCAACATTTTGAACCAGATATTGTGGAGTGACGAATCAAGGTTTCACAATAATGCTACTGTAAATCGTCACAATATGCATTATTGGTCTCCTGAAAACCCTCACTGGGTTAGGGAAACTAACTTTCAGACCATCTGGGGAGTAAATGTGTGGTGTGGATTATTTCAGGGACGACTGATAGGTCCCTATTTTTTTCAAGGTACGTTAACTGGTGCTAGGTACTTACACTTTCTTGAAAATGACCTTCCAGAACTTCTTGAAGAAATTCCAATACAAGAAAGAGGTGCTATGTGGTGGCAACAAGATGGAGCTCCTCCACATAATAGTAATTTAGTTACCCAATTTTTAAACGAACGCTTTGAAAATCAGTGGATCGGAAACAGCGGCCCTTTGAGGTGGCCTGCGCGTTCACCAGATTTATCGCCTCTAGATTTTTTTTTATGGGGATATCTGAAGACCGTGGTATTTGAAACACAGCCATTGAATTTAGAAGATTTGCAAAATAAAATAGTACAAGCCTGCAATAACATTACACCAGAAATGATTACAGCGTCATGTACTCGTGAACTCATTCGACGTTTTGAAGCATGTTTGGCAAGTAATGGGGGCCATTTCGAACAATTTTTGTAAATATTCAATTATTTAAAAAACATATTAAGAGGTTTACCTATTCATTGGATTTGTTATTTTTTAATATAATAAAATGATAAAATGTAAACTAATTATTAATGACTTTAACCACAACATTGGTTTTTAGTCTTTACCGGCTTTATGACTCTGTAAAGTATATCAAAAATCATATCGTTGTATTCGGGACAAATTGAGTATTTATATCAGCGAAAAAAATATAGGGGTGACATTTGAAAAAAAAAAGTTAGGGGTTGTTCCTATGGGGTGGATTGATGAATATAACTTTATGTAGTGGAATTTAAAAGGCTACTAGACAAATATTATTCATATTTTTTTTTACAATTTTATATCATTAAATAACCGAGATATCCGCTGGGCAAAAAAATCTGGGACACCCGGTATAGTATATTACATTACGAGTGTGGAAAATCACTTTTCACACAAGTGATGTACAATATTTTTCCTACGACCACAAAATAATTTCATCAAAAAATGTAAAACCAGATTATTATAATAATTAAAATGTATTTAAAAAAATAATCAACAATAATCGTATTTATTAAATTTTCATAATTTCTAAACAAATAAAAAAAAATAAAAAAAAAATAAAAAAAAAATTCTGGCACAGCCAGGATTCGATCGCGGTCGTTGGACGGTCTCAAATTGCAAAGTTGATGCTCTAACCAACTGAGCTAACAGGCCTTACGGTAATGGGCCCGTTCACTTTTATTTTTGAATGTGAATTATTTATATATTTATAAAGATATTAAACTCTTTTGTCTGGTGGTACTTTTCCCGTTATGATATTTTTGCTAGAAGTAAGGGAATTCCCATAAAATTCTTTCAGTGACTCATTGCGTCAGAAAACCCCTAATTCCCTTCAGGTCTCGTATCGGTTAATAGTTAAAAGGGCGCGGTTGTCGGATGTATCATTGCACCACCATTCCTCTTCTGCATTTATTAAAGAAATTTAGATGATAAAAATATATTATTTTTTAAAAATAATGTGTTTATATTTTCAGATAAAGCTGGAAGCCCTACCTTTTTTAAATTTTAATAAAAACAATTAGTATTACTCAAGCTGAATATTACCAGATCGAAATTTTATTTGAGAAAATGTATCTGGTAAACGTGACAACGTTGTAAGTACTTCTAAATAGTGTTGTCTACACACACTTCTAGAAATAAATGCAACGTTGCCACGTTTACCAGATAAATATTGCAAATCAAATTTCTACTTTTTGATTATGGTCTGGTTAATTTTCAGCCTGAGTAATAATAATTGTTTTAATTAAAAAGTAAAAAATAAGCTCCAGCTTTAAATCTGAAAATATAATTTCATGATGTTTAGAAAAATAATGGAATTTTACTATTTAAATTACATATATAAATGCAGAAATGCTATATTAGGGATACTTCCGACAACCCCGCCGTCTTTAAGCATAACCGATACGAGACGTGAACGGAATTAGGGATTTTCTGACGCAATGAGTCACTGAAAGAATTTTATGGGAATTCCCTTACTTCTAGCCAAAATATCTTAACGGGAAAAGTACCACCAGACAAAAGAGTTTAATATCTTTATAAATATATAATTAATTCACATTCAAAAATGAAAATGAACGGGCCCATTGATTGATCTAATCGCTTATGTGTTTAACCAGAATAAAAAGCAAATATATCTTAGTTATTTTAAAATTATTTTAAAAATAATTGTTAAAGATAAATATCTAGGATTTAATTTACAATAATTTAACAATCATATCGATTTTAGTATTAATATGGACATTACATAGATCAAAATAGAAATTATGTTAAAGGGAAATAAAAGACTCAAAGTCTGTCGACCACATAAATTTATTCGGTTGGGTTGCAAGCGCTTTCGACCTAAAAGGTCATCATCAGGCAAAAATTTTTTTTTTGAAAGTGAGTAGGTAGGTAGGTACAATCTGCAATAATAATTTAGGATAACAAAACGTTTTTTTATAAAAATGCTAGGTGTCTTACCACTATGTGTCCACAGAAAAAATTAAATGTTGAATTAAAA